TTGTTTTGTATATTTTTCATGAAATAAAATCACAAAAAGCATAAAAAAAAGTTTTGAGCAGAATTGTATTGTGCAAAAATAGGTATGAAAATGTGATAAACAAACTATACCACCGATACACGTGTATTTTTCATTCGATCGAAAAGAAAAAAATACGTATCATGAGAGGTGAGGATGAGGATGAGGATAGATAAAGACGTTGACTATTATATCCACACCAGCACACTCTCTAGATTTTAACACTTATTTAACTAAATCTTATGATGGATATAGAAAAAAATTAATTAAAAATTTTTATAAAACTCGAAGTGCTCTTTGAAAAACTTCTTGATTGAAACTCAAGTTTTAATTGCTTCATCAAAAATTGGTAGAACAATGAAATTGACTTCAAATCCTATGCCACCAAAATATCAATATCGAATAGACAGACGTTACTAGCAATGAATGATACAAAACTCATATCTATGAATAAAAATAGATTGTCGATATATGTAAAGTATAGATGTCGGATGTATATTTTACTTATTTTATCATTCTCGTACATTCGTGTGTTTTATGATGTGATGACTCATATATCGTATGACTATAAAACGAAAGTTCGTCGATCAAAATTTAATTTTGAAGTTTCTTCTCTTTAACTATGTATTGCTTTTTTCGTTCGGTCGAACGAAAAATTTACGTATTGATGATGATTGCAACGAAGGAAAGATAAAAACGTGCGCTGATCGGTAATTTTTTTACCAAGGTACATAACGATGACTGACGCATCAATGATCACTGCAGTAAAGAAGAAATAAAAAAAATATGTTTTTCGATGTTTTATTTATTCATTCTTTTTTGACTTCAATTATTGTTAGGTATTATTTTACAGTAAGTGAAATCATACTATTTGATTGTGGTCTAAAGAATACAAATGATATCTTTAAATATGATAGTGAATATTTTTTCTTGTCATTCTTACGACTAGACAAATAAACTATTTGCCTGTGAACGAGGCAGAACAACAAAGATATTTCATATTCTTAAAAATATCTGGATGATGTAGCTGTATAGATTGAAGAAGATTCGCATCATTACCCGTATTCACATCCAACCTTTAATACTATAAATTATGTCCAACTAATGATATTGCTGAATTATTTTATCTATTTTTGATATAGAAATGGAAAAAATGTTTGTGTGTCGTCAACTTCAATGTTTCAAGTTCAAATACTTATTACTTTTCGTATTTGTCACTTGTTTTACTCTTGTTATCGTCTTTTTCGTCAACAGATCTTCAAGTAATATTTCACTATTGGCAACAGGAATCGAAACGATCGTTACGTCTCCAATAAATACTACTCGTCACTTATCCAAGGTTAATTCGTCTAACTGCCTTCAATCAGATACTCGACCTTTTTTTGAACAAGAATATCCACAAACGAATTTACCTCAACGAATATCAAATTCATCATATCAAAATATTCTTCATCAACTTCATTCTCTTCGTTTAATTGTCGTAGCATGTGCTCGTAATGTTGAAAAAGATATTGAAAATTATCGATCTCATGTTGAACCAATTATTGATCTCTTTCATCCATCATCTCGTATTCTTATTTTCGAAAGTGATTCAAAAGATAAAACTGTAGAAAAACTTTATCAATGGCCTCGTGCACAAGTTTATGCATATGGTAATCTGATGAAATCGCATCCAGGACGTACTGATCGCCTTGCTTTTTGTCGCAATACACTACTTAGCAAAACACGTGATCTCAAAGCTGATTATATCTTAGTTACTGATTTAGATGCATTTTCTACAGCAGTTCCTGCATTTCTTTCAAATTTTCAATATAATATAGATGATTGGTCAGTAATGACAACAGCATCAAGTGGTGCATATTCTGATCTTTGGGCATTACGTACATTGTCTGATTCAGTTATGAATTATGATGTATGGCGTCGAATGGGAGAATTAGGAGGATCATCTGGTAAAAATCATTGTAGTCCAACAGAAATTAGATATTTAGCTCTTGGTATTCATGAAAAACTTATTCCAATTGAATATGGTTTACTTGAAGTACGCTCAGCTTTTGGTGGTGCTGGATTATATAAATTAAATTCAACATATGGATGTCAATATAATGGAGATACTTGTGAACATGTAGCATTTCATTTATGTATACGAGAAAAAAATCAAGGAAGAATTTTTATTAATTCGGAATTTCGACTTAATTAAGCAATGATCATCAATTTTCATATCGATAAAGATAAAATGCACATATTACATATTCTCAAAATTAAGAATTACAAGTTTTTGTTTATGTGTAGTATTTTTTATAGCATGATTATCGTGGTATTGCTCATTTTAATAATAATGATAAAAGTTATCGCAGCGAAAAAACGAATTTTTTTCTCCCACTCAAATCAGAATTGTTATTGATATGTTTGTAATCATGAACACTAATATACCTCTCTAACTAATATTTTATCTTAGTAAATGTGCTATTACTATGCCGATATTCATGACACTTCTTGCTCACTCATCTCACTGTTTCGCATTGTTATCAAGGATGGCGATAAACTATTTCAATCAAAGAATATTTTATCAAATAGTGTTTTTTATTTATCACAGGCAATAAGTAATTTCTGAAATGTTGCTTAAACGATTGTTTAAGATCATATTATGATTAAAAACAGTATTTTTACCTATAGAAAATAGTGCTTCATAACAGTGAAGTTCTGCATATATTTGATAACAAAAATATCATTCTTTCTTTTGTTCTGAGGCTACTAACGCAGTTGATGTGTAATCTTATCTTTCAACTCTAAGAAGACATCCACGGACAGTGAAACAACATGTGAATTGTCATTTCGTTAGTTATATATTGAATCATCGACACATATGTTATCATTTTTTATATTGTGTTTGGCTAGTGTTGTCATTGCTCAACAACCACGTCCATGCACAAGTCCTAGTCAATGGGAAGCTAGCGTTCATAGTTCTAATCCAAAATTAGATGGTGATCTTGTAGGTCAATTGTCTTACGATGCAATATATCAACGAACACGTATTCTTCAACATGTCAAAGTTGGTACAACCGAAACTTACTACGATATAATTACTTTTTATGATGCTAAACTTGTCTTTATTGTGAATATGAAAAACGGAGAATGTTCACGATCTACCTTCGATCAGCCGTGGAGTGATTTTGGTATTCAATCAGATGCCACATCACTTGGAGAAGCGTATATAGGTTCATCTACAATACATGATGCTGGTCTTTTCGTTACGATTTGGTTAGTATTCTTTTTTTTTAATTTCAATTTATTTAATAAATGTATGTTTTGACTAACCTCTTTCTCGTCTTGCTAGGGGTGGCAATCAGACAATACCATTGAATGAAACTGCGCGTTACATACAAACATGGACTTTTGAAAATTGTTTACCAGTTTCTAATATTTTGTTTGAACCTAGTGGAAGTATAAACTACATGTGATATTATAATATCACCCTTGGAATCCAAGATCCGAATGTCTTCATTCCACCGGCACGATGCTGGAATGACAAGAAGTTTCCAATACAATACAATCGTTTTGGTCCACGAATGAATTAAGAACTTGACTAAGCGAGTATTTACACATCGAAACCATTTTTTTAATTTTCAATAAAGTTTTATTCAAAACAAATAAAAAAAATCATTTCAAGGATTTTATTAAATCAATGGTTATTCTGTAGTTACAATGCTGTCGAATATAAACCTAATTCTTTAAGATTTTGGTGTGGGTGAGAGTACGGGCGAGTGTGGATGTCAATTATTCATAACACATTCAATCGCGCGACAACTACATCCACATCAAAAAGTAACTACATTAATTATGAATTATGTAGATTAATTTCATCGCAGCATATTAAATTATATTCTACAAAGAATAATAAACGTCGAATATGCAACAAAAAAGATTTGTATATGAAGTTTTATATTTATTTTCAAATATAATAAAATTTTCGTCTGATCTTATATAATCATAAATAGGTAATAAACAGATTATTTCACTGTGTGTGAAAGAAAAAAAAAATAGTTGGAAGTTCTCAAGTCAAATATAGCTATAAATGAATCAACATTTGACTCTGCTTGAGGATGTGGGTTGACTTGAAGATGATATCCTGATCCTCACTAACCCGACACTAATCCACTCATCCACATCCATATTCACACCCTCAAGATTCGATATCGCGAGTCATTATCAACCATTTTCAGAATATAAGGAGAAATCGTATGAGTAGAGCGAAGAACTTCATTATCCGACACAGATGATAGAAGAAACCGAATGTTTTTTCGAAATTCAAAATTTTTAAATAATTTTAAAAGGGTGAGTGTCGCTATGTTAATATATTATTGTAATAATATTTGCCCTCTTCCTATTATTTCTTCTCATCTTATGTATTGCCATTATCTTTTTGTCGTTCCTTCATTCTCTCTGATGAGCGAGTATATACACATATGTTTTGTATGAAAACAATGAGATTCTAGATAAGGAAAAATATAACAAAGCGTTATAATATCTAATGTTGTCACAATTAAGTGTTTCTTTATCGTCGAAAAGACGTGTTGACTAACTTTCTGTCGAATATAAAAGGAAGTAAAATTAAAATGTTTCATTGACACTATCAAAAAACAGTTTTTTCAAGAGACATAATAGGAAATCGTGAGTATTCTGATGTTTCGAGAACTTCAATTCAAGGTAGTTTTTGAGCGCCTTATTTTAGCTTAAAATAATTTCTAGATGCTTTAAGCCACTTTGAAGTACTCCGATGTAATTTCGGACTTGAAGTCGGCTATTGACTTCATGGGCTTATAGTTCATATGGCTTGCTACCTCTGTGAAATTATTGCATAACAACATATAAAGAAAGGAAAGATATCACACAAGATGAGTTGACCATTGGTATAGTGAGTTCGGTTTTTTCTCGAACAAATATATCAGAACACTTTCAATTTCTCGTTCATAGTCAATGAAATCATAATTTAAGAAAGATAATCTTACGTTTTATTTTAGAAAATAAATATTAATTAGGTTCCAAAATAAAAAAATCCGCAATGATTAGCATTTCACAACGTGATGCTGCATTATTCGCAGGATTTTCAATTTCAATCATGGCAGTTCATGCAGGATTTGCCTATGCTTTTCTTCTTCAAGGTTTTAATCTACCCGATAAAACAGCTTTAACAACTGATAATACTAGACCTCCTCTGACATCATTTCGTTTTGGCACTTTCGACCTTCTTATCATACTTATCTGGGCTGTACTAGTGGCTTGGGCACTTCATGTTTCTCTTAAACAAGTGGACGAACCCCTTTTCTCAGCTACTGTTTGGCTTCGAATTAGCTATACATTATGTTTGGAAACTGCCTTACTAAGTTCAAATGCTATTGTATTACTATTAAATGATGCAAAGTATTTGTCTGGTTATGGAGAAAGTCTTTTTAATGCTCTGGTGACATTGTTTTTAAATAAGTTTCATTATAATTGGTCTCTTGTATTAGTTATTTTTGGATGTCATCTTTACGTTCTTAGCTATTTAGTTTTCAAATCTGACTATATTCCTAAAAAATTTGTTTTTTTATTAATTATTGTTTCTCTTTGTTATATTATCAACAATTGGGCTAATTTACTATTACCCAACTATGAAAAATATAAAACAACAATCGAAATATTTCTTAGCGTACCTATGATTGTTGGGGAAATGGGATTTGGTTTATGGCTTTTATTCAAAGGTGGTATAGAACATGAAGATTAAGGTGATTCAAACAAAAAAACAGATTAATTTGTAAATCTTAACTCTTTGCTTTTCAACAATCAAATTTAATTGAAATAAATAAAATCGATTATGACAATTTCTAAACTTTATGAATAAAGTGGGCGTGGGTGCAACTTTTCTTAATCTTCGTCCCGATAATATCAATTTCTTACTTTTCACCTCAGGATAGTGCTCCTTTTTTGAAAGCTGATCTATTATTATTCTAGTCTTTTCTTGTCTTTTCGTAAATCTACTTGAAAAACTTTTATTTTTATCACGTTTAACAGGAAAATCATACATCAACATTGATGCAACGAAAAATTCATCTTGAAGGTATATGAATGTAGATGATAATTGATGGAAATATCTATACGCACTGTCGACAAATTTTCCAGTGATTTATATTCACTTGTTATAGTGAGACAAATGACTATTTCATAAAAGCTATCAAAAAAGTATCACGAACGTTTGCTTTTTATTAGAGTTAATTCAGTGTTTAATATTGTATCATCAGTATATTTACAAGAATCGTATTTTAAGCATGCCGAATACTCTTCGATGAATCATTCAGTATTATGACAATGTAAAATAAAACTTTAATCATATCAACAAATCAAATATGTCGTAGTATTATACAATATATTTAAAAGTTCAATTGATATTTTTTATGAATCATACTATACACAAAATATAAAAAAGGAAAAAAAATTCATCAACATTATTGTTTGTTTTGACTGACATCATGGAAACAGTGCTGTTTTCTCTTCATCATAATATTACATTTTTTCTCATCATTTATTTAGAACATAGGTTTTTTAATCAACGATATACTTTGCCATATTCTTATTAAAGAAGCACAATCTTTTTACAACCTGTTTGTTTCTATAGTTTCTTTGCAAAAAAAATGAACATACTTTTTGAATAAACTTTTGTTTTATCTCATAGAACTGAAGAAAAAAGAAAAAGAAAGAAGGAACAGAAACATTTTATTTCTTTCTTTTTTGGCTCAAAACACTTTAGCTTCAGCCTGTTTAGTATTCTTCGTCTTTCTTTCACGATATAATATAACAATTCAAAATATATGCATCATTCTGTTCTAGCTGCATATAAACAAAGAAAAAAAAATCTACTTTATGCATATTTAAGTCTTTTGTCGAACAGAAAAAAAAGTTGACGACTAGTTTTGACTAAAAAGAAAAAAAAGAATGACGATTATTTTATTTCATCACATTAACAAAATGAAAAGACAAGTTGGTATGTTAAATGAGAAAAAAAAATAGACAGTAATATATTGTTATACTGCTGCATTGTGACTTGCTCAGAGTTACATTTATTTCCTTAGATTAAAAGTTTTTTGGTAATGGCTCGAAGAGGAATTTGTCATTTGCTTTTGTTCATGTTTATTTTCCAATCAGTCGCACAAGATATGCGATCGATAAAAATGTCTTCACTGACTGGTTGGCAATTTCAATGTTTTAATACAAGTTGTTCACCCTTCGTCACTATGATAGTAAAAAATGTTCGAAGGTGTCAAATGGGATGTTTAAGTGAGATTTATTGTAAAGCAGCCACTTTTCATGAATCCACTTCTAATTGTGAATTGTTTGCCAATCCACCAGATCCAAATGGAAACATGCTGGCTAATTTAGATACTATTACTATGATTAACAAGGATGGAACAAGATTTCCGCCTGGTTAGTATGAATATAAGTATATTTAAAAAATAAATCATATTGAAAATGTAAAGAAAAATCTGTTCGAGTAGCAAATAAAATCTTTCTTTTCTTCTTCTAATCAATGACTTGATTTCTAAAATCTTCGGAATATAGATGTGATTGAGCGATAGAACAACAATCTCATTCACCCTAAAAAATCTCATTCAATATTCTTGCTTTATTTTTATCTCATTTTCTTCAAACAGAACCAACCACAACAACTACAACAAGCACAACCACAACAACAACTACAACAACAACAAGCACAACTACAACAACAACTACAACAACAACAAGCACAAGCACAACAACAACAACAACAACAACAACAACTACAACAACAACAACAACAACAACTACAACAAGCACAACTACAACAACAACTACAACAACAACAAGCACAACTACAACAACAACAAGCACAAGCACAACTACAACAACAACTACAACTACAACAACTACGATGTCGACCGGTTAGTAATGCGCTACACTACTTTTTGACAGCGTAAACTAGGATCATTCCGATTGATTTTGATTATAAGTTACTAACGGAGGTACTTGATGTTGGTCGAGAAACTTCCACACTAATAAATTTGTATGCTAGAAAATGATACGAGATTTAGACAGGGATCTGCTTGAAGCTTTTACATCTACCGCCACGGTAGGCGCCGCTATGCACACCACAGATCAGCAAGTACGACTATCTGCCACTCCAACGTCACTGTACTTCCGCTCCATGTTCAAGAATCACGATAAGAGTCCACCCCGTTTTTAATCGCCTGTGGCATCTTCACTACGTTTGTAAACGCCCGTTACAGTTCCTCCCTGTTTCTAAAGATCCCACTGCAATTCCATATTGAGAGTGGATGTATATAGGGATGTACCGAGCTCGAGCCTCTCAGGCTCGGTAGGCTCGCTCAGGCTCAGGGCTCCGGTGTCAGAATTGATATGGCAGTAGGTGAATGTGGGTGAGAGTGCGGGTGAAAATAGTGAGTGAGAGTGAAAAGAATAGTACCTGCACTCACCACACCCACCCACTGCCACATCAATTCTGACATCCGAGCTCTGAGCCTGAGCGAGCCTACCGAGCCTCGAGCCTGACTGAGCCTCGAGCCTGACCAAGCCCGAGAGGCTCAGCCAGGGCTCGGGCCTGGTACATCCTTAGGTGTGAGTGAGAATTACGGTGTAGATTTGAATTTGAGAGTCATAGAAGAATTAGGCTTCTACATCTACAGTATCAAGATTGCAAAATAACGTCCATAGATACCAGTATAACATCTCAAAATACAGACAAAGAAAAATTTACTGATGACTTTATATTTAGGATGGACAACCATAGCAAACATGAATGTTGTGCGTTATGCTCACACAGCATCCATATTAGCAAATGGAAAAGTATTAGCTGCTGCCGGATGCAACAGTGCTGCTACTAACAGTGCTGAATTATATGATCCATCGGCAGGTAATTGGACAATCACAGGAAATTTAGCTGTCGCACGAGAATTTCACACAGCATCTGTATTATCAAATGGAAAAGTGTTAGCTGCTGGTGGATCTAGTGGCAGTAGTACTTTAGCTAGTGCTGAATTGTATGATCCATCAACAGGTAGTTGGATAAACATAGGAAATATGAATACTGGACGAGAACGGTTTACAGCATCCATATTAACAAATGGAAAAGTATTAGTTAATGGTGGTTGGTCTGGTAGTGATGAAACCGCGAGTGCTGAATTATATAATTCATCAACAGGTGGTTGGACAAACACAGGAAATTTGAATTCTAAACGACAACGGCATACAGCAACCCTACTAGCAAATGGAAAAGTATTAGTTGCTGGTGGATACAACGGTGCTGTTATCAACAGTGCTGAACTATATGATCCATCAACAGGTAGTTGGGCAATAACAGGAAGCATGAATATCTTACGAGAATATCACACAGCAACCCTACTAGGAAATGGAAAAGTATTAGTTGCTGGTGGATCCAACAATGATGCTAGCTACAGTGCTGTTGTCAACAGTGCTGAATTATATGATCCATTAACAGGTAATTGGACAATCACAGGAAGCATGAATGTCGCACGAAAATATCATACAGCAGCCGTACTAGCAAATGGAAAAGTATTAGTTACTGGTGGATATAATGGTAGTAATGATGTCACTAGTGCTGAAGTATATGATCCATCAACAGGTAATTGGACAACCACAGGAAACATGAATGTCTCACGAGAATATCACACAGCAACCATACTAGCCAATGGAAGAGTGTTAGTTGCTGGTGGAAATAATAATGGAGCTACTGTCAATAGTGTTCAACTGTATTGATTGTCACCGACAGAATGCCATTTTCATTTTTAGACTGAAACATACCGTTCTACTTTTTAATCAGTTTATTTAATCAGTTTATTTAATCATGCATGCTTCAATAAAACTATTATTAATCTAAAGATTCAGGAGTAAAACTCATAACGTGAAATATGATTCGAAGTCGAATGGAAGGGCGATGATTGAGACTCACCATTTTGAGGGTGTGGATGTGGATATGACCAATACGTTTATTCCACACCCATATTCATATTGTTCTGTATAATTCCAATTTTATTTTGTTTCATCGATTGACGACAGAAGCATATGACATATTATCTTCATTCAACAAAACTGAAGAAAAAACATAAATAATGGGAGTCCATATGAACGCATTCTATTCCAAAAATTAATACTGCATCGAATAACTTCGATTGCTTGAATGCTGTTTAATCCTGTCTAGATCTTAGTATTCAGAATCAGACTATAATTATTCCATACATCGTTTTAATCCTTCAAAACTGCATCAAATAATATATTAGAAGGCAGTAACAATTACCAATGAAGAAAAATACTGCATGAAAAATTTGAAATTTTATTTCATAGAAACAATGTGATATTCGATAGTTGTAAGCAAACACACCACTATAGTCACATGATGTGGTAATCTTTTTCTTTTTCACTTGTATTTTTCATTTTTTGATCTATTTCTCAATTTTACTTAAAAATGTGTTATTACGCAGTTAGAAACCAAAAGCAATAATTGCCTTCGCCTTTTTATCTCCTTTGTATTAATACTCTTGTTTTTCTTAGATGTATTTATTATTGGATAGAACGCATTTTTTCAAGACTGTAATAATCGTCACTTTTCAATCAAAAGATACACCGCGTTTATTTATAGGTATGATTCGGCCTATCTCTTCGGATTATAATAAGTGTATAGAGATTAATGACATCTGATTTTATTAGTAAGTGATGTTACATGATTGTGAGAGATAAGGGTATGAAGATTAAAGATAGAGTAATGATTTTATTTCAAATATAGATAATTGAAATATTGAAAAATTTCTTTAAATTATGAAATTCACTATGACTTTTTATAATTTCATAATATAAACAAGTGCATAGAATGATGGGCTTAAACTAATTTCAGATGATGTTGCAACATAAGAATGAGATTGGTTTTCTCCACTTGATTTAATTGAATGTTTATGTTGACATGTTGTACAACTCTCCCATTCACTTCGACGAACATAAAGAAAGCGAGTTGTTGAGACAAAGTAGCTTGATTATGCTTGAACATCATAATAAATATTGTCATTGTCTTCAATTTCTGTTGTACCATTATGATTATGTCGTGGCATTTGTGCTTCGGATAATACAGGGCCTTGAATTGAGATTTCTAGGCTTGCGCTTTATTTGCTGCACCATGATCTTAAATGAATAATTTTTGCATGAGAGTAGCAGAAAATTGAGAGAATACAAATCGATCACGTAAATCAGGTGAACCATTTTTTCCATCGCAAACAGTCCAACCTTGAGGAATCCTATTTTCATTGCCACTCCTAAAAAGAAAAGTAGAAATAATGCACGTAACATAATACAATTGCACCTTTAGGCACTAAATATTGATGATCAACCCAAGTACATCTAAATTTAAAAATTGAGAAATAAAACAATTGACTTCTACGATACTTACTCTGCATGTGTAGAAAGTTCAACAAATATGGATAGTATAATAATGAAAAGCATTGGATAGACTGTTTTTTGTTGTCGAGAAGAAACATATCCTTGTATATATATATAGTCAATCAAAATTTTTAATCCTTAAATAACTAAATCTTTGTTTTCAATATTCAGTATAACCTTGAAAGTAAAGATTGAATGATCGATTTTTTCTTTATTGTATATGATGTACAGCGTTTTTATTTTTTTTTTTTTTTTATTTATTTAGGCAGAATGAGACTGACGACCTTAAAGGTCCTTACAGTACATGATTGAGTTAGAAGAGAGAGAAAGAAAGAAAATAGAGAAAAAAAAAATAGTATAGTTTAGTATATATAAATATGAGAAGAGTAGCATTAAACAGTAACAAAAGAGGTACAAAAACAAAACAGATCAAGACCAAGAGGAGAGAAACAAGAATATGTAATACATAGTTACATAATTATTATAACAACAGTATCAAGATCAAAAAAGAAAGAAGACAAGAGGAAAGAGAAAAAAAAAAAAAAAAACTTCAGAACGATTCAGGGAAATCAGCCAAGGTCATGACATCATCAATATCATAGTTGATGGTGGAAAGATTAGGAGGAATACTTGCGCACCACGTAGCGCATTTTTCCAAAACAGAGGTGTGGCTGATGAATCTTTTGGTTCTATGTGTACCCTTAACTGGATATTTATTCTTCAGCCACTGTTCCCGGAAAAAATTGACGTTAGCTAATTCGAAAATTAGTCTACCATCAATCGTATCCGACCAGGCTTCGAAATACTTTTCGAAATAGTTTTTACAGCGGTCTTCAAGGGATTTTTCGTTGAGACAGAACGCAAAAAGATCATTATTAATGTGCAGGGCATAGAGAGCTCTACGAAGGCAAACGAAGTAGAAGTGGTTCAAGTCTTGTTGCTGC